CTGTCCCAGGTGGTGGTGATGGTGGTCTCGGGAACGCTCTGGGTCTCAGAAGGAGAAGAGGGGCTGTTGTTTCCGGTGGTGGAAGGGCTGTTCTCGCCAGTGGTGGAAGGACCGTTCTCCTCGGTGGTGGACGAGCTGATCTCCTCTGAAGAAGATGGGCTGTTACCCTCAGAGGTGGATGGCACGGGAGCAGATGTGGTCTCAGGACCGCCGGGGGTGGTAGCGGGAGAGGACTGGCTGGGGATCACAGAAGAGCCGGTGTTGGAGGGGATGGGGGTGGTCTCGGGGTGAGACTTGGTGGGAACAGAGCTGCCAGGGTGCGACTTGGAGGGGACAACAGAGCTGCTCTCAGGGCCACCGGGGTGCGACTTGGAGGGAACGACTGAGCTGCTCTCGGGACCGCCAGGGTGAGACTTGGAGGGAACAACAGCAGTGCTGGTAGTGCCATGACCACCACCGGGGTGAGTCTTGGTCTTGCTCACGACAGGAACAGAGGTAGTCTTGGAGGGAGTGTGGTCGCCACAGTCGAAGCCAATGGAGGGGATCTGGATCCCACAGCTGGGCTTGGGAGAGTCCTGCTCGGGCCAGTGAATCTCGACATCGGTAGCACCACCGCACTGGGAGTTGGAGATCTTGTTTCCACCCTTCTTGCAGCTGGAGGACTGCTTGCAAGTGGAGCCACCGGGCATCTTGTAGTGGAACTCAAGACGGCAGTCAAACTCGACATCAATGTCGAAGTGGCTGACAGTGAACTTGTCGACACCAGAGTTGGAGCCACAGCCGAAAGAGGGGGTGGAATCCTTGCCACAGCTGGCCTTGATCACCTTGCTACCGCCGGTCCTCTTGCCCCAGGCTGCGCTCTCTCCGCAGGACCAGCCGTTGAAGTTGAAGCCATTGTAGGAGCTGAAGGAACCGGTGGTCAGGTCGCTCCAGTCAAATCCTCCCTTGTACTCGTCCTTGCACTCGTTGTTGGAGTTGCCAGGGCAGGTGTAGGAACCAGCGTTCTGCCAGTTGGAACCGAAGTTGAACTGGAACAGGCAGGGTTAGTGGATGATCTCCCTTTCATGCATAGGAGTGGGTGTAAGCTTACAGTAGCGGAGGCAGGGCCGAAGCTGGCGGCCATCGCCAGGAGGGCCATTGAGTTCTTCATCTTGAAGATGGTTCGGGTTGGTATATTGAGCGAGGGTATTTCGTTGTTGAGCGAAAGTGGTTGTAGAATTTACAGTATAAGATTATATCAAGAGTGAAATCGGGCCAAAGATGAGCGAATGACTTTGAAACCCTGTCAAAGAGGACTATTGCAAACAAGAGAAAGAAGATGAGCTGAGAAAGGCTTGTCGAGAAGGGAAAGCAGAAGGAAGGGAGAGATGGGATGAGGTCTATATAGGCAGTCAGCCAGCAGCAGAAAGTGGCCGGCGATGTGCCAGCGAGCGCTTGCCGATGCATCTGGGCCATGCCATGCCATGGGTCCCGGATGGTGCGGTGGCTAGCCCTTCAGCCCCTTTCGGCTTTCTCAACCCAAAGAGAGTTTTGATTAGGTTGGATCCGATAGCAAGGCCCTGCGGCCTTGTTGGGCACGATGTCATGTAGGTGGGTTGATACTTAGTCACGCCCCAGTAGGCTATATCAGCAAACATGGTGCGGACAAAAGAAAAACTGCAGGAAACCCTCAAGGCCCCTTGCACAAACTGGAACCCTAGCCCAAGACGCATGGAGTTGCTCATGGGGGCCACAGGAGAAAGGAGAAGCCGGAGGGCAGGGGGCCATCCTGCTTGGAAGGAGGATGGTCGACGGCTCTGTCGTCCAGGCTAACCATGTTTCAGTTGAGTGGTATGGAATGGTATGGTGGTGGCCTGAGCTGGGCGGATAGAGACCGCTGCCGAATGGCCGAACCCAACAGCTCAAGCTAAGAGCAGATGCGATAGAAGTCCGGGGTGTGTCTTGTCTTGGTCTTGGCTTGTCTTGGTTGTCGCGCGGCAGAACAAGTGACAATGCCGGGGGTTAATGGACCGGCCCACTCTTCGGACAGACTCTCTGGTGCTACGTAGTAGATGGATACTCCGTGGATGGATCCCTTTTTGCCTACCTGTTGTGGTTGTAGGTGGGAGGTCGTATCGGCGGTTGGCTAGCCAGGCCCAGGAAGCTTTGCCGTAGTAGGCGACTGCGAAGAGCGCCCGATCCTATTCCTGCTCCTCTGGCGCAGGACGCACAGCCGTCCGCAGAGTGCCATCTTATCTCTCCCATCTCTGCTTGAAAGCCGCCTTTTCTCTCAATGTATCGACTGATCTCTTGCGCGAGGGTAGCGTTCGACTCTGCGTCCAAGCGCCGCATATCCGGCGCTGCATCTTGGCGAGACCAGGCCTGGGCGACAGGTCTTACGGAGAAAAAAAGATAGGACTGGGGAAGTCGCAGGGGCCTAAATCTGCTCTGGTCAGTGCGTCGCACTCAGAATCAAGCTGACAGTTCTAGCGTGGTGTTCCAAACGGGCCAGCGAGTTCCAGTTCCAACACGAAGAGCCGTTTAACCTTGCCACAAAAGGACGTCGCCTGGGCTGAAACATGGCTCCGGGCTCAAAGCATGCTAGATCAGACGGGGTAAAGCGCTGGATGTGATGCTTCAACGTCGCTTTGAGGGCAAGACATCTGCAGGTACGGCGGGACCGGGAGCATCCAGCCAATGGGGGCGGCGGACGTTGCGCACTCACCGTTGGCACCACCAGGCACCATGACGGGTGGGAGGGGCCCTGTTCAGTCCTGCAAGGGGCCGGTTCGTGAGTGGTTGTTCGTGGGGATGGAGGTGGGAGGAAGAGGTAGGAAGAGGCATAGCGTTTGTGCTGCCCGTGCCCACGCACAGCACCACCCTGGCTGGCCGTCACCAATTCGGCCATTCGTTTGACTACCACATCACCGGAATCAGAAACACGCCACACCCACCCGCCAGTCTAATCGAGCCGCGTGAGGTGAGGTGAGGCGCTAGAATGCACAGCCATCACAGCCATCACACGGATGCATTGGTTTGGAGTTTGCCAGCATGATGCCGCACCAGCTGCATGTCCACCTACCCTGAAGTCACCTCAGCGTGCATCCAGAGCCCAACGAGAGAGATGCTCTCCAGACCTCATGGCTATCATCTAGCCTATGCTTTGAAAGTTTATTAGTGTATCAGTCTATCCATCAACGCTTCCTTCATGTTGAATCTCTAATTTCTTTTATTTTTATCTCTCTTGCCCCAACGGTTCGTGGGATGTTCAATCCTGCTCTGCCACCTAATCTTCCTATCAGACTGATCGCCGTCAGCCATGTGGTCAACATAATACCCGAGAGCTCTCATTGGCACATCATAAAGCTAGAAAACTAGCTACTGAATGACAACCATGTGCATATCAGAGGCCGGGCGAGTTATTATTAGGCTCGAATTATCATATCATCGTGATGTGTTCGTTGACGACAGGGGATGAAACACGCCAACACGCCGGTATTCGGCAAGTGGGAATCCTCCCTTGGCACCCAGAACTTGCTGATTCACTCGACTTACTCTCTAGAGCAGAGCCCTGGGCGCATCCCACCTGTTGTGGCTTGCTACCTGTACCCTGGGAATCCTTCCCCACTGCGGCGAGGCATCTCCCACGTTCCATTGCGAGCTGGGGCCGGGGAGTATTTTTCGAACTCCTTAGGCGAGTACTTCTGCTGAGACAAGGCATCATGTCCGATTCAGGGCGTGTCAGTTCGGCCGTCGCATTCAACAGCACTGTAGGTGCGACATGCGACATGGACCTGTAGATCATGCCCCCTCGTCTGTGCTGTCCAAGTGTCCATGCTCATGGCCGTTGTGGGTATGATCATTCAGGTGGCCCAATCCAAGACCCCGGCCACCTGAATCTGGCAATACGAGGTCACATCCTGGACTGAGCGTTAGGACCAATGTGGTGGGAGCTTTCTTTTTGGAGTAGGGGCCAGTATTACTAGAGCACATCATGGGAGTGCCGCCCCAGCGTCGTCCCGGATAGGAAGCCAAGCCCATCCTCCACCAGAGAGTCTCTACCGTCGAACTGGAGCTTTGGGTCAACCGGCATTGCTCTACCGGCCAATATTAATAACGGCCCAGGAAATTCAAGACTCCATAGATACTACAACGTCCCAGGCCAGCTATTGATACTGTATTTCCGCTCTCATAAAAAGTTCCCTAGCTACTTCCGGTGGACGGAGATGGAATACGGTTCAGAACTGTCTAGATTCAGGCGACCCCTTTGGCAACCGATCCTGGGTAACCGCTACAAGGAGATAAATGAATCCGAGAGCCGGCATTTGTGTCATGTTTGTCGAGCCGATATGCAGGAACATGGGTCCCGATGCTACCTTGTTTCCTTCCCGGACGAAAAGACCTTCAGGGGTCGTGATTATCTGCGACCCAGGAGTCTTAATCCCGAGTCTATTCGTGATCAAAAACACTATGAAAAGCACAAAAAAGCACATCTCCCCATTTATGAATCCATCTACCTCCAGGATTCAGAGTTGAACCTTCCCTCCTTTAGCCACATGGTGGCACACCCAAATCCTCCCCCGCGGCTGGATTATATCCCCGGCAGGACCAGCATCTCGTGGTGGTCTGGGGTGCAGTAATACACGCGCGGGATGGGTTTCTATGAATATCGCACATGCATCACGGGAACAATGTCGTTGAATAATAATAAATTTCCCGCGGTATCCGGCATGAGGATGGTAACAATATGCGCCATGCGCATGGGGGAGCGCTAACCTCTCCCCCTCAGCGTGTGCCACACTTTGATTTTTCGTTGTCGGGACCGAAATTGCATTTTTGTATCTCTAATCTATGCCGTTCTCCTCATGAGTCAAGCCGCATTAACCGTCATTTGACGAGCAGCCCGGCATGGGAACTGCGCTGCGCCACGTTCCCATCTTCCTACTTCCCGTCGTATTCTCAATCTCTAGCCCGGCCATGGACTCCTCCCTTGTCCAGGCATGGCATGAACCGACTGCCTGTTACGGAATGCCCTGCTCCCCCGGAGCTTTTCCATGCTCGTCAGGGGCGACCTTGAGCCTCTTGGGAGCAGATTGTCCTAGCGAGGTGCCGTATTGCTGGCCACCGGCCTGGTGGAAGTTCTGGCTATCCCTCTTCACGCACTGGCACACCTTGGCAGCCCCTGTGTAGTTCAGGCCGCAGGCTTTACAGCCAGTCATCTTTGATAGGTTTGTTCGAGACGGCATTGCCTTTGGGATGGTGGGCATATAGAAGCTCCGTAGAGTCTTTTTGTCAGTTGTAGAATCAATGACTCGACGATGGAAAGGGCCATTGCCATGATAATCTTGTAGAAGAATATCAACGGTTTTATGTTTTTATATACCATTGTATCCAAACAATGTCCTACTATGATTGAGAGCCAAAACATCGCGACGATATCACCAAACCCTGATCCGGAAAGACGGACAGTCGGTGAGGGGACTCGCCGTTCACAGGCGCAACGATTGTGCGCACATGATGATTTGCATTCTGCGGCTGACTTTCATAGCGTGCGGTTTGTCCACCGGCAGTGAGGTCATTCTATAAAACATGGTGGTTGAGAGAATCATCGATAACTCGATGGAATCGCCAAGATATCAAGCAGTTGGTAAAGCTGGTCGTTAGTGGAAAGGGGGCCAGCCAGCTTCCATCAGACGAGATAGTAGACCTGGACTGCTAAGACATGAGAACGAACTCTGCCAGGTGAAAATAAACCAGACGAAGTAAACTGCATCAAGCTCACATAGAATCCTCTGTGCCATCCGACGAAGATGATGGGACTAGATTTGTTGATACAAGCTTCGAGTCACACCTCGAACGGGAAGAATCCCGTGAAACGGCATCAGATCTCGATTGGTTGATTGATTGTATATTTTTAGCGAGAAACGGTCTTATTTGCCCTGCATTCTTCGGAGCCTCTCCTCAGCCGCACGTGCTCTACGTTCGCGCTCCAGCTTCATCCGCATCTCTGGTGTTAACCCGCGAGCTTCTTCCTCTCTCCGCTCCTGCGGCGTTTTCACCAGGCCTGCGGCAAGAGCATTGGCTTTCGCCTTTTTGCTTTCGGCGACCTTTGGACCCTCGACCCGAAGCCTCTCCTCCTCCGCTTTCCTTCGATCTGCCTCCTTCTTGTCCGCCTCTTGTTTCTCTCGTTCATCTCGAGATCCGGCCTCGGCCTTTGTCATCGCTGCTGGCACCTTTGCTGCCTCCCAATCCCACTTGTCCTCGCCCAATTCCGAGCGCGCGACCCGGAATGCATCCCGACTCGACCGATCTCCAGAAAGTTCAAACGCTGTCTTGCCCTCCCGATTTTTCAAGGTGGGGTCGGCACCACCACGAGACAAAATACCGAGAATCATAGGTGCGGCATTCTGTGCTGCCGCCAAGTGGAGGAGTCGCGGGGCGTGGTAGTTCTGCTCCGGAGGCTGAAACTCAAAGTCGGATCCGATCTGGTTGTTCTTGAGGTAGGATAGAAGAGCGGGAAGTTTTGATCGGCGTACAAAGGCCTGGAGTTGCGATGTGTGCAATAGAGCCGTCTCCTGCTCCTCCGAGAGCTTTGGTTTCGCAGCCTTTTGAGCAGACTGTTTTGTGGGAGTTGACGTCTGCTGAGGTTCCACGGTGAGCTCCTGTGACGGGTCAATCTCGCGTACTTTTAGACGCGTGAGCTCGATAAATGATCTCATAAGCTCATTCTGTGTGGCTCTCCTCGTGCTGAACGGGAAACCTCGCAACCTTGTATCGTTGTGTCTCAGAACTTGCCCATCATACGGCCCAAATAGCGTCCGCCTGTTGGTTGCACCTGTAGCCCGGATGAAAAGCAAATCGGCTGTATCTAGGAGCCCCTTCCAATCCTCAAGCAAAGCCCGGACATCTTGTACCAGGGCTTGTTCATTGTAGCGCCTTAGGCCAGAACCGGCCGAGTGAGCAGTCCCCTTGGCATTATCATTCGCCGATTGAGAACCACCTTGTTTGCGTCTTGTCGTGTAGCGATGGAATGTCTTGTGTGCAAGCACAGTTGCTTCCCGGTTCATGGTTACGCTTCCCTTTGTTGCGCGAGGAGCCAATGAAACGACCATGGCAGCGAAATGGCCGCCTCCAATCATACACAGGAATATGTGAGGGCCCTTATACGGTGCTGTTGCGGTCGGTGTTCCATCCTTGTTTAACTTTGGCACAGGGACTGGCTCCAGCTGCTTCTTTCTTAACACTTGGACAAGATCGCTGTTTCTCTGGTCCTCTCCAGTGAGGATTGCCCGGTAAAGACCAAAGTAGTTGTTCTCTGGCAGTACTGAAGAGCTGAACCATATCAAAGGAGGCTTCCCCCGATTGCTTCTCTTTGCATCTTCCTCGTCCCCGTTATCCTCATCTCCCCCGGGATTGTTCTTGTCGGCGATCTTGGCTTGTCTCTTGAGAAGAGCTGTCAACGTCGACTCTGATCGACCATCATCCTCGTCTTCCTCAGTATCTTCAGAGTCCGAGCCTGAGAGAGATTCGTCTAGGTCGCCGACCAGCTTCTCAAACTCGGTCTCGGAGACGGGTTTTTGGCCGCGCAGCTTCTGCTTGAGGTTGTAGTTGTGGAAGTCGGATTTCAAGTGGCTCCGCTGTTCTTGGACTGTTGGGAATGTCAGGCTGCAGAGGGAGCAGCTTTGCGATCCAACTAGATTCTCTGACGATGCGCCCGGGCTCACGTCTCTCGGAGTGCGCGACAACTCTTCGCTGGCGACTATTGAGGCGTCTGATTTCAGGGTAAGGGTGTCTAGAACCTGGGGAGGTAGATCGTAAACTGTGCGACGGCATTAGCACAAGATATCAGCTGGGGTTGGAAAAGGAAGCGCCAACCGTAGAGCGGCCTGCGCAAGAAGTCCTCCTGAGCCTTCGACATCGTGAAAGAGGGGTCTATTAGCACGGGGACGGAGAACTAGGTAGATTATACAATTCGAAATCACTTTCTAGGTAACAGGCAAAGAAAGAATGGAAGAAGACTTTTATAAGGCCAAAGGAGAGAAGCTGTTTCGTATGTGGACGGACGAAAGAACTTCCCGAATGACGTTGGCGTCGAGCTGAGTCAATCGGCCAGCGCCCCGCCCCCACCATAGCCACAATCTTTTCTTAGCGAGGAGTCATCGCAGCCGAGTATTTGGCTACCCTATAGTCCAGAGCTTCTTTTGGGAGCGGTCTACGCAGCCACCTTCCTTTTTGTTTCAAAAATACTAAATCTCAAGTATGAATTAAAACTCTTTGATGACTCTCTATTTTCGCCTCATCTTTTATTATTCTTCCATGTCGAATTTTGGGCTTAAGTACCACTGTTGATCCCCGCCAACTCAATGAATCACTACGTAAATAGTTGAGGCTGGAAATGGCACATCCAATTCTCAACAATCACTTCAACCATTGGATTTAGAGAAATACAATAGATTAAAAATTTAGATCTAATTATCGGAACTTAAACTTATTTCTTATACATTGCTTATTTTCTTCATAAGCTCTGGTGGCTAATTTTGCAGGATAAAAGTAGGCTTCTGCTAGGTGGTGACCTGAGACAGTTCCTGGTTGCCCACACAAAACACAGGCATAATATATTCGCAATTTGCTCCTAGATTCCTGTTGATAAACATGAACTTAAGGTTATAAAATTGGCTACATCTGTCGCATGGACACCTCCCATACGTAGGCTCTAGCGATCAGTAGGGAGGGATCGGCGGATGGAGCATCACTCCCCCCGCCACATAGCGTCACCGCAAACCCCCACCTTCCGGCCTGGCCTCGATCCTGATAGGCACGAGATGGAAGATACCCTCCCCCTCCGACCCCTCGTCCAGCTGAAGGTCCAAGGTACGGCTGCAGATCTGGGTTTATGATTGGCACTGTCGTCATTCCTGCTGGATCCTTGATTTTTAGTGAGACGAAGCGCAAACCAATAAATGAGGTAACCGCCTATAAATATATCACACCTTCTCCCCAGACTCCAAAAGCTCTTTCTTCCTCAACTCTTCCTTGCTGGATATTATATCTCATTGAATCTACGTGTGACCGAATTCTAAAACCAAGACACATAATAATTACATACTGCATCCCTCCTGATCACCATGGACTTTGTCAAGAAATTCACCAGCGGCGAAGGCGATAACCAGCAGTCTACGGACAGCCGAAAGGAGGAGACCACCAGCAGCAGTGGGGGCGGCTTCATGGATAAGGTCAACGAGTTCGGCGGCGGCGGCAAAAAGGGTGAACAGAACGAGGATGCCCTCGATAAGGGTAAGAATACAACCCCAATGAGCTGTCATTTTCACTCGTCGGCTGACATATTGTTCCTGCATTAGCTGTGGACTTTGTCCAGGAGAAATTCCTGGGCCAGGGCGACCAAAGCAACGAGAGCGCCGCAGAGCAGGCTAAGGACGAGGCCATTTCTGACTTCATCCGGGATCAATACAAGAGCACGACGGGCAGTGATTTCCCAATCGCAGACAAGGACAAGAAGTACGGAGCTTGAGCAGAATTCGCAGTTGTAGTTTATTAAATAATTGATTTCGCCCTTTGTATCTCTTGATTAACTTGACAAATATTCTCCCCAACGCCTTATCCTCGCAAACTTAGATTGCCCTGAGCGCAAATCCAAAGAAGTACGGCACGATGAGCAGTAACAAGATTGCCAATGCCCCTACGAGTGCCGCCACTGTAAACTCCTCCGTGCCAAACTTGAACCACGTGTAGCTCTGTCCATCCATGAACTTGGACAACCCCTGGCCCTTGCGATGGTCGTGGGGCCAGGGAGCCTCCATCCTCAGATCACCGAGAATCTGCTCTGCCGTGATCTTGGCACCCGCCAGGACAATGGGCACACCGGTCCCGGGGTGCGTGCTGGCGCCGACGAAGTAAGTCGACCCCAGCTCGGGCGCCTTGGTCTTGGGGCGGAACCAGAGCACGTTGAAGAAATTGTGCCCCAGGCCGAGAATGGCCCCCTTGTCCAGGTTGAACTTGTTCTCCCAGATCAGGGGAGTGTTGACAATCTCGTGCGAGATGGAGTCCTCGAGCGGCCGTTTCAGCCCGAGACGCTTGTTCATCGTCTCTAGGATGGATGAGCGGGCGCGCTGCACGATCTGGTCCCATTGCTGCTCGTCCTCGGGGAGGCCCCCGTCTGCGGCGTTGACGCCCTTTGAGCGGGAGAGGTGCCCGACAGGGACCAGGCATATCACGCTGTCGCGCCCCTCGGGAGCGGCGGTTGGGTCCACCCTGCTGGGAACGTGGACGTAGAAGCTGGGCTCATCGGGGAGTTCGTGCTTGGTGAAGATGGATTCAAAGGACTCATGATACTGCTCGGCGAGGAAGATGTTGTGGGTGGAAAGCTCCGGGACCTTGCGATCCAAGCTCCAGTAGAACGAAATTGAGCTGCAGGATGCGTCTTTCTTCTGGAGACTTTTGCTGCGAGATTCAATTTGAGGGGAGCGGGGAAGAAGGTTGCTGTAGGAGTAGACCAGGTCGGCATTGAGTACAACAACGTCGGCCGACAGCGTCTCTCCGCCCTCAAGCAGAACACCAGATGCCTTCTTCCCATCGGGGGAGGTCAGGACTTTGGAGACTGGGGAAGAGAGCCTGTATTCGACTCCATACCTCTCCCCAATCTTGACCAGGGCATCAACGACCGTATGGAAGCCACCCTTGGGATACCAGATACCCTCGGCGAACTCCGTGTACTGAAGAAGAGAGTACGTGGCCGGGGCGTCAAACGGGCTCATGCCCATATACATGGTAGCAAAAGTGAAGACTCTCCTTAACCTCTCGGTGTAGAAATATCTGCCAGCCCGAGCCCAGATGCTCTCAAAAGGGTGCATGTCGAGGATCTTGGAGAGGAAACTCGGGCGCGCCATATCCCAGAAGTTCATAAAGTTCTTCTTCAGCACCTCCCTCACGGAGATCTCATAGTGTCTGTGGCCCTCCTGGAGCCAGGCCACCCAGCGCTCAAAGCCCTCGGGGCCCTCCCAGCGCTCAATCTCGGCGCGCATTGCGGCCAGGTCTGAGCTGTGCTGAAAGCGAGCGCCGTCATGGAAGTAGACATTGTAGTTTGTCTCGCAGCGCAGAAGATCCACGCCACTGTCGGGCATCGTGGTCCCCAGATCCGCAAAGGTCTCGCGGAAGAGCTGCGGGAGAAGGAACAGGGAAGGTCCCTGGTCGAAGCGGTAGCCATCGTGGTGGATGAGCGAACAGCGACCGCCGGTGAAGTCGTTCTTCTCCACGACTGTCGCTTTCAAGCCAGCCTTGGCCAGGCGAGCCGCAAGAGCGACACCTCCGGCTCCGGCACCTGCGATGATGGTTGGTCAGAGGGTGATTCTTGCAGACTGAGATGAGCTGAAGTGATCAACTTACCGACGATGATTACTGATTTGGGCTTCTCCATTTTAGGCCTTCTTACAGGATGATATCAGTATACTGAGTGATCGTGACTTCCTCTCTATATGGGACCACAGGGTTTATATGGACCGGCCATTGTGTGATCCCGGCCAAGCCCATACCTGGCCGTTGACGGCCACATGTTTGCTCGAGGACAGCTCGGCTGCTGCGCCAGCAAGGCTACCGCGGAGCCCAAGCGAGGACTTCGCTAGTTTCTCTTACGCCCGCAGCTCAATTGGCCCATGAAGCCGGGCTTCGGTGCGTTTGCGAGTGCGAGGTGTCCCTTTGGTTGGTGTAAGGGTCTATATGTATGACACCATGACTTCTTCCTCCCGTTCCATCCACAAACGCCGCTCCCTTTTCCCGCTGTAAGGGATCTGGATGGCCCGGTGGAGATGGGCGGCCGACCCTTGGGTCTAAACTTGTTCCGGTAGCAAAGTCTTGCCCAGGTGATATTAGCTTTGGAAAGACGGTCTATGTCGTGGATCCGTGGTGTAGATCGTGGGAGCGGGCCTCCATCTTGAGGCCACACCCCCGCTGACATTCGGTTGCAGGGACCTGGACATCGGATTGTTGATCTTGGCATGCATGTCTGATCGTGCTTTGTGGAATTCGATCCGTGATGGTGACATTGACCATTTGGATCGGCCGGATACGTGGTATTACTCCGTGGTTGTTTTATCGGATCTCTCCTAGGTCCCTCGATCCCAACAACTACGACTGGGTCTCCGCATCGTTGGAATGTGCCCCAACACACGAATGCTGCATTTTCGTGCATTGAACACAGACCCCAGTTTGTTGCATGTGCTGAAGTCACAGTGCAGGTTTTTATTTGCCCAATTTGCGACAGTATCGGTTTCTTTCTTAACATGAGTATGTTATTCTAAAAAAAAAAAAAAAAGATTAATTCAAGGACGTATGTGACCTTGAGATGGCAGAATGTAGCCAAAACTAGAAGTGACTAGATGCGAAAACCACAAAGAATTCCAGTCTAGCTAAAATATGCAACACCTTCACGAACTTCGCAGCGCTGTTTTCCACACAACCCCAATGCGTCGCCAGGCCGGAACGGTGGCCTTGCCCTCCACCCGAAGGCCCCCTTCTGCAAGAACCCTCCCGATCTCCATGTAGCTCTCAACTGCCACAATCATGGGGCCCCGACCCTCTTTCGGGATCATGTCCATAGCCGGCCTCGAGTTCCTGTACCTCTGAAACGCCTTGCCGAGGAGCCGCCTGCGCATCACGTCAATCTGCGGACCAGACGGCTTCTCCAGGACCATCTCCGTGGTCATCCCTTCCTCCTCCAGCCATGAAGCGGGCAGGTACACGCGCCCGATCTTGGCGTCCACCACCACGTCCCGCGCGATGTTGACGTACTGCAGCGCGATGCCCATCTCCTTGGCGGCCGAGTACAGCGCCCGCTTGTTCTCGACCTTTTGCAGCGTGTGGTGGAAGATGACGTCCAGGCAGAGCTCCCCGATCGTGCTGGCCACGCGGGAGGCGTACAGCTCCAGGTGCTCCTCCTCCTGGATCGGGGGCCGGTCCGACATCTTGAACTCCACGTCGGTTCTGAAGCCTTCGAGGAGCTCGTAGAGCGGCTCGGATGAGATGACGTGCGTGGGGAGCAGGTTCAATGCTGAGTGCGCCGAGGGCGGAAAGTTGGCGCGGATGAAGTGGCCCACGTTTGCGGCCTTGGGAGCACAGTAGACCGAGTCAAGGTGGCCTTTGAGCTTGAAAATCCAGTCCAGTGCCTCCTCCGGGGTCTCTGCGTTGTCAATCAAATCATCTGCCAGGCGGCAATACGAGTAGCTGTAAATTCAAGTTAGTAACTGGCTCGCAAGAAAATTGCCAAATAGAGAAAAGGGAAAAGTAAACATACAGTAAGGTCAAGTCGATGCGTACCCTCCCAGGGAACACAGAGCTGGCGATGTGGAAGCTGCGGCTCTTTTTCTGTAGCCTTGCGACGGACTCTTGAATTCCAACGATGCGCTGCATGTCGTACTGTGACGAAGGAACCGCACGAGCCCGTAGCAAAGACATAATAGGGACCGAGCTAGATGGCTGGGGGAACAGCTCTGGAAAAGCATCGTGGACAGCGGTGGCCTTGTCGAATGCAAGGAGGCCAAAGACGACCAACATGTTGGAAATTAAGAAGAAGATAGCCTCCTCGAGATCAAGTTTGCCAAACAATTGGCTCCCAAGCTTGGTGTCGTCTTCTATTGTCCAGATCCCTTGCCTCAGCGACAGCTCATCCACGAACCATAGATAGATGGTTGGTGCCATGAGTGGCAGAACTGTGCTCGTCCATGGGAGCGCGAGGATCATGTCGCCGGAGAGACTCCAGGTCATGCATAATACAGGACATGCCCAGGCGAGTATGAGCCCGAGATATGTTCTCTGGTCATTCTGAACGACAAGAAAGCCGCCGAATGCTGTGAGTGCGACAAAAAGCCATTGGCCAAAAGCCTTTCCTTGTCGAATCCATTCTGGGCGAGCTTCTCTGGTGGTGAGATATTGTGCGAGAAGAACTGGTTTGTTGCAGAGTATATACACCAAAGATGTGATGTATGTCTGAATGAAGAAGAAGAATAGTTCCTCAACTGGAATGCTGAAGAGGGATGTCCCCAGCACTCCGTCTTCTGGATATGTCCAGACACCAGTGCGGATGAGATAAGAATCCCAAGGGATGGTGGCCGTGACAGCTACAGTCACCAGGAAGAGGATTCTTGTAGCATCAAGATATGTGAGAAAGGGCTTGGCTATGACGGTGAGGAGTCCCGCGAGCGGGATGGTGAATTTGACATGACTGTCGTTGTGGTTAGCGATGGGCAATGGTACGCTACACAATGGATAGCCGTCATGACACTTACACAAGGGCGTAGTCGAAGAACATGATGCCTGCCAACTTCCGCAGTTGAGGCTCCTTGGGTTATTCACTTGGGCTGCGCTTGATGAAGGCGACTGAGATGGATAATCAAGGAGGGGAGGGGCGGCGCTGGCTTGCGATATTAAAGTCTAAACTGATTTGCATGCAGGTTGGTAGACAGCGTCTAGATCGACTAGTCGTCTGCATGTCGTACCTCCTATCGATGGACCCGATCGATAACGAGTCTCGGAATACCGACCTGGTACGACGACGCGGGATGATAACAGCCCGGCGGACAGCAGGCGGTCGGGGGAGAGGGGGGCTCATGTCTGGAAACAGGACTCTGGTGAATCATCACTCGATGGCATCCCAAGCCCTTTCTGGATGAAGTTTGACAATGGACTGAGACTAACCGAGGGGCTGTTCCTCCATCTGATCGCTTAGTAGGTTCTGTAGCTCGTGGCTCCGTACCTGCCGAGGACCCCCTTTACTTCGGAAGAGGTCTTAGTGGCCTTCTAGAGCCCGCTTTAAGGGCGTGTGTGTAATGTTTGGCCGGGTCCATCCGTGGGAGCGACCAGGGTCCAAAGTCTATGACGCGCTATATAATTGATCAATTTATCTTTTTTTTTTTTAAGTTAATTTATCTAAGCTCAGAGTTGAGATGGTGCGGTACCTACAATGTGAATATCTCCGAGAGGTTGTCATTGGTCAAGGTCTCTGGTCCCCATGGCGGTATCGGGATGCAGCGTAGGCAAGCTGTATGTACGTTGGCATGATCTATCCTTGACCATTGGGAGTACGTTACATGAAGAATGCATTCGGCCAAATTTGACGAAAGCCCAATGTTGTTCATAAATAGATTTCAACAAGATAGGTCAATCAAAACAGACTTAATTCCATCTACAATCTGATAGGTCTCCCTATAGTTAGCTAAGCCAACTCCCATATCCTTGCCATGCCTTGCCCAGTAAAACCCGAAATATTATCCCATTTTGTAAATTCCAGCTGCCAAATACCCTCCCTGCGTAGCGACCCATGGCAAGCCCAACGGCTAACCAGGGCTGTACGAGTTGGAGCAAAAGAGTGGCGATTGCGAAAAGAAGCAGTGAATAGAAACTCAAAACAGTAAAGGAGGGTGAGTAAGGAAATAACGAGAAGACATAGGAACACACAAAAAAGAAAAAGGATAGGTGGCAAAGAGAAGTATACAGCTGCCATTGAATTGGCATTGGAAGTAAGCGCCCAAACCTTGGTTCTGCGATAAAATCTCCTATGCCTTAGGTGGAAGACTCATAGAACTGGTTATTAGCTGGAGTCAAGGGTACGCCACCATCGAAATGGCCGCCATGACGAGGGCCGTTGTTATTGTCCCGACGAAAGCTGTTGTTCCGGCCATTATATCTCTGACCACCTCGCCGGCCACCTCTTCCACGGTAGCCTTGACCAGAACCTCGTCCTCGGCTTTGTCTATAGGTGTTGGTGGTTTGGAACCACTGGCTGTTTCCAAACGGCGAATGGCCAAACGGGGTAGACGAGGGGTAGTACATGGGCATGACGAAGCCGGGAGGCGAGAGCGATATGCCATTGAGCTGGTCGTGGAAGGGGTGGTGCTGGTACTGACCCATAATGGTTGTCTGGCTGGTGGTATGCAAGCCATGAGTTCCATGAAACCCGTTGGAGCCATTGGCTTCACTTGGGCGCCTCACTCTAGTCAAGCTGCTGGCACTATTCGCAACAGTGACCCCGTTTGTGCCCAGGCTTCTATTTGTGCCAGAAGCCCGGTTCAAGTTTCCACCTGCGGCACCATGTGCAATGGTGGCCCTACCATCATCATTGGCTCTGCCTGGATCGTTGGCTACGGCTTGGCTGTTGTTGGATTGCTTCCTGATCACTACTGTAGTGTCAGATGATCTCCAGTTGCCGTCTCCGTCCTTTTCGTTGTCATTGTCTTTATCCTTACGAGCTTGACTGTCACGGAGTCTCCATTTGGGTGTCGGCTTTCGAGAAGTGCGGGGCTTCTTATCAACGGAAAAATCGATCTTTTTGATGGGGTCCGTAACCATGACGTGACTTGTCAGGCCGGAGCTTTCAAGATCGTCCAGACTGGCTGTACAGACTTGGAAAACATTTTCAATCTTCTC